CAACCAGGGACAACTCATCTATGAGCTGCCAGAGTACATTTCACACGATGCATGAAAAATCCCAGGAGTTGACGAATGAAGAACTCACCACAGGCCAATGCGAGCCAGCCAGGCATCTCTAAATGACAAAATGCCTTGGAGGCTGAGCTCCTGGCACTGGAGAGAGGAGCTGCAAATCACCGCCAAAGAAATACACCTCACGCTCCACATGCAGGGACACGACCCACAGCTAACCTCAGAACTGCGCCCTTCCCCTAATCCCTCCTCCTCCCCACCCTCCTACTCCCGAACCCCACCTCGGCACCCCAATACCATTGGGAAAGAGGCAGCAGAGGAGGCATGGAATGGAAGTGGGAGAGACTAGCTTAATGTGGGAAGAGACTCCTGCTCATAGAATAGGCCCTGGCCATCAAAGGGAGAACTTGCAAAACAAAACAATGAGTTCATTTTAAGGTAGAGGAGTTGTAGTTCCTGGGAGGAGGGAAATTAAAATGAACGTATGTTGTAACTAACTCTGTCCTTTCTCACAACTCCTGCTCTGTCAGCTACCATACTGTTGAGTATCTGATTCCTCTCCCCTCCGTTCACAAAAGTCCCAAACCTGTGGTCGTAAAGTCAATTCTGACTCATGGCAACCCCATGTGTTACAGAGTAGACCTGCAGGGTTTTCTTGGCTGTCATCTTTACAGAAGCAGATCACCAGGCCTTTCTTCTGTGGTTAGTAGCTGAGAGCAAACCATTTGTGCCACATAGGGACCTTCCTGATTCCCCAGGTGTTTAGAAAAACGTTCTTCTTTTGTTTGTCAGAATAAAACCATGCTTGTTGACTCTAATCACAAGACAACAATGATGTCTCTGAGAAGGCAGCACTTCATCCCATCTTGCCAAGCTACTCGATCCAAAGCACAGATATTGGAAAATTCAAATGCTGCTTTGCTTTCTATTTTAATGCCCAAATAAAAATCAACTGGGTCTCCTCATCCCAGCATCCTTCCTCCTACTACTACCCTTCTCTAACAACAGCCAGAGGACTCCCAACACGCCCCGGTCAGAATCGAAGGCCTCTGAGCAAGTGCACAAGTCTCCACCAGGCACACGTTCACCCAGGGAAAGAAGCATGTCTTTTCCTTTGAACTTGCACATTCCTGAGCTAAGTTCATCTGAATCAGCTTCTCCCAGACACAGCCTGAGTTTATAGCTGGCCTCTATGAGGACCTTCGTGGATGACGATAATAACAGCTACGATGTTGAGTCATCTGTTTCTCCAGGTTTTTATAACAATATGAGTCTCTGCAACCTCTCTTCATAAGACTCCATGATTTTTCTATTTCACAATTTGTCTAGGTTTCTCTGTCTGGTCTAAGAAGAGACTATTCTCATAAACAACAAAGGCAGCTATTGATGTTTATAAGATGGGCTCTTTACCTAGAGAATATAGCCCCCAAGTCAGCATTTTCTAAAAGACAGCCAAAACTCCATAGCAGAAATTAAGCTAATGGGATCATCCACAGTTTGTTACAAATATTGGACCAAACAATCTCTCTGATCTGTTGAGCCCTAAGGCTCAGGCTTCATCAGGCTTCTTTCCAACAGCCGTTCCTGGGAGTCCATGCTGCAGCCTGTTAGCTTGGATATGGTGTGTCATCCTCCCCAGATGGAAAGCCCACTCCATGATGCACCACTCAGTAAATGAGGTCAATGCCAAGAGGGAGACTCACCCAGAGTACTGAAATGTGTCAAGGTGGTCACCCTCGATCATCTGCCCCACCAGCACCAGCTCCGCCCAGTGCAGGCAGCACTCTGCTCTTGATGAGCATCCCAAGCTGAACACACTGCACAGCACCCTCACCACAGGAAGAAAGCGCATTTATCAACCAGTCACTCGGCTGCCCACGTGTCTTTTATCTTTGAACCACCCTTGTATTTTCCCTCTTACTCTCCTGTGCGCCTCTTAGTCCTGGCATTCCTACAGTTTCCTCCTACACAAAGCCCACGTGGTTTGTGAAAGTTGTTGATAGTTCCAGATTTTCTACAGGCACCTCAGCACAAAGAAAAGCGAAACACTGCGCCTGTCCTGAACTTGGAAATCTCAGGTGAAACGTGGATTTGGGGGTGATGCGTCCTCCCCAGAAGAGCCCAAGACAGCAGTGCACCCTATTCAAAGGCCACCCTCACATCCAGTCTCTCCAATGGCGCCATAAAATCAGATCACCACGCCTTGGAAGTCTTTCAAGATTCCATCCATTTGGTTAAAGCACTAGATTACTGAGCAAACATCACACACGTATTACCTCTTTGAGTCCTCATGTTGATTAAAAGGCAAGTGAGAATACATGGGCAGAGTAACAGACTACAAATAAGAACTGAGTTCTAGGCCTGTCTCTATCAGCTCATCAGAATTTAGACTCTTAAGATAAATATCTTCTTCAGGCCTTGGGAAGGAAACCATCCTTTTACAGGTTCAGACCCAAAGACAACTATAGATGTACACAGATGGACTCTTCACTAGCTGCATCACCAGGGAAACTTTACAGGTTTTTTGTTTCCTCAACTGTAAAGTGAGAATAACAAGAGCAGTCTTCCCTACCACACATCATTGTGTGAATCATATGAGTTAATGCATAAGAAAACGCTCTATAATTTATACATCTCTTCAGTCAAAGATTAGACAGCCCCATAAAACAAAACAAGACTAATGGGGCACAACAGCCCAGAGACAAGGACTAAAAGGTAGGAGGGGGCAGGAAAGCTGGTAATAGGGAACCCAAGGTCGAGAAGGAAGAGTGTTAACATGTCGTGGGGTTGTTAACAAATGTCATAAAACAATATGTGTACTAACTGTTTAATGAGAAACTACTTGTTCTGTAAACCTTCATCTAAAGTACAATTTAAAAAGAAATTTTATACATCTCCGTACAAATACCAGCATGAATATTTTCCATTAGTTCCACTCAAATGTATGGCAGCTTTGTAGAGTACTGCAGTGGATTCTAAGTTAGACATGCCCAAGGTTTTTCCCTCAAAGAGCCATCAGCACATGGGCGAGATGGGAGGATCGTAACACACCTCTCCACTGTTAAAAGGAGAAACAAATACAGCACATTTGGATGGTGGAACCAAAACAAGTTCATTTTAAGTTGCATATGCAAATATGCACATTTGAAAATATAAAAATGAGCATCTGTGTATGTGTATATATGTTGAGGCTGAAAGAATGATTTCCACAGAACAAGGAACGCAGGAGTAGGAGAGATCCTTACAGGCAGAGGTGATAGATGAAGGGCAGGTATAAAGGTGGGGGAGGGAAGCACAAGGCACAGTCAAGGACCAATGTGAAAAATTCCATTTTGCTGTATTTTAGCAACAATCTAAACCTCTTTGCCTTCCCCATGTGAATGAGCTATGGGGTTAGATTTCTGCAGGGTAATGTTAGGGTTGGAAGGGGAATGGGAGGAGATCCTAAGTAGCTCCCTAGAAGAGCATTTGTGGCTTGCTTTTATAGGCTGGCTAGCATGTGATGCAGGTCTGAGACAGGACAGTCACTAACTAAATAGTCCAAGATGCATTTGGGCAGGCAGTTTGAAGGCTTATCACAGAAGGTCTTCAGGAGACTGAATTCCCATAATAAAAATGGCAAGCAGTTATATAGTGCTTACTACAGTCCAGACCCTGTTACAAGAGTTTTATATGTATAAACTCATTTAATCTCTGTAACAGCCCTATAAGGTAGGTATTATTATAAGTACCCCTCCACCCAAATCAGCTAATAAGCAGTTCAGTTAGGATTCAATTGCAGACAATCAAATGCCGGAGTCCATGTTCTCAGCCACCGTTGTTGTTTTTGTAAGTTGCCATCGAGTCAGCTCCAACTCATGGTGACCTTATGTATAACAGCACAAAACGCCGCCCAGTCCTGCACCATCTTCATGATTATTGGTATGTTCAAGTCCACTGTTGTGGCTGTCGTATCAATCCATCTCACTGAGGTATCAGCCACTACAAGTCGTGGATTTTATTAAACACCTTCTTCAGCATCATCACTGAGCAGAGCACAAATCCCTCTTTGCTCCACACTCATAGCCCTTGCAGCCCTTACAACCAATCTATATATTCTTTCAGGTATTACTCACTTTTTTGTCCAACACATGTAAGCATGTGCTCTGTCTGTCCCTCAAATGAGATTATGAGCACCTTCAGGGCAAGAACTAGAAGTACATCTTCTGGATACTCCACAACAGAGAACATGAGGAACATTCTTGCTCCACAGCAGAGTGGATAAAAAACTAGGCTTCAGAATTAATCAACATGAGTTTAAGTATCAGTTTTGCCTCTTATCTAATTGGGACTTTGGGCAAATTGTTAACCTCCTTAAGCTTTATTTTCTTCATCTGTAAAATGGATATAACAATAACAAGCAAACATAAATAAAACAAAATTAATTTAAAAATAATAAAATGAATATAATAATAGAAGCAACTCATAAAGTAAAGCTTAGCACAGTGCCTGACATATAATAAATATTAGCTATTACTAATAATAATTCATTCTTCAGATGGAAACATTGTCATCAATTTGGACACCCTCTCTTAAGGGCTCACCCTCTCCCTTGCTGAGAGGTATAGTTCATCTTTCTCCAGACAATCGTTCTCAGCAAAGGTTGGAATCAGAATCTCTAGCCCATTGGTCTCCAAAAGTTCTCACAAGAAGAGTGGCTACCCTTAGGCTATTTGGAAACGGGGAGGGGCGCATATTTCAATGAGGAGGAGTACTGGCATTTTGCTGCTGAGGTGACCAGGATGTGAAATATTTTGCAATGCTCAGGACTGACCCATACAATGAAGACTTTTCCCGCCCAAAATACCAGTAGTGTCTCCACTGGAAAATATAGCACTGCTTGGGAAATATCTGTGTATGAGGGACCAAAAACAAAATCAGTCCAATAAACTTATAAAAAAAAAAAAGGTAAAGCGATCCAAACTCAGTTAGGAAGTCAAAAATACCTCCTTATGGCTTCTGGTGGCTCCACAAGGAGAAGAACCTGATTGGCCGAGGCCAGGGTGTCATCCAGGGCCCGGCCCATCTCCCGCAGCTCGCCCAGGGGCAGTGTGCCCGCCAGCACAGCCAGTTCACAGCCCGGCCACCGTAGCAGCTGCTCCTGTTCATCTATCTCCCTCCTCAGTTGTTCATCTTTTGCTTCCAGCACAGACATTCTTGCTTGGAGAGCTTCAATTTCTTTCTGTAGAGAGTAGGAAGTCCAGATTTTATAAACGAACCTCCTAGCGGCACAGTGCTCAGCTGACATCAACGCATGTGAGTCAGCCATAGGTACCAGAACTGTGAGGCTCCCTTCTGAGGCAGGCAGGTGTTTGGAGGTTAGCAGAACTGGAAAAATCATGCCGGCTTTATATTTCCCATTAGTTGGCATAAGGAAAAACATTCCCTCCCACACATTAAATAACTATGGGAGGAGCCAAAAATTTGACTTTGAATACCCCAGCAAATGTATAAATGACTTACTTCATGTTAGGTGGAAGAGCTAGGTATAGGACAACAGCATCTTGCACTTCAGATACTATCTAAGCAGCTAACACTAGCCACAGACCAAAAGGAGACAGGCAAACAATCCTTTGTTAGTCTCTCTCTAAACCTAAGAATGTAGTGTGTAGAGAAAAACAAAAAATCATGATTTTTTATCTTACGTCCTCCGCATTACCGAGAGAACAAGTAGAAGCTATGGATAGTGTCATGCGGTCTAAGGTTCATAAAAATATTAAATAAATTTAATTTCCATTAATATAACAACTCAAAATCCAAGGGATCCAAAGAGTATCATACCATCCTGAGGTCAATAAATAAAAGAAGTAGCAGGTAATTGAGCACCCATTGTGTGCACAGCATCGGAGCTCACCACATGACTTTGGAATTAAAAATCAGGCCTTTTAAATCAGCATACTTACATGGTCCATGCTTTGGTTTCTGGCTGGTATAAACACAGCACTAATCCTGGATGTCTCCCCATCTCATAACTTCAAGGCACACATACCCTACAACTTCTCCCTGCTAAACCCATTTCTAACAGGATAGAGAAAGAAATTCTAAGCAGAAAATAATGCCTCAGTGTCTCCCATTGGTCCGAGATGACTGTATTATTGCCAGAGTCTCCCAACTAATCTCCAGTCTCCCTACTTCCACCTTCAATCTCTTATACTCTAAACACAGGAGTCCTTGGGTGGCACAAATGGTTAAGTGTTTGTGGTGCAATGAATTACTTAATGTGGTCCTTCTAGCCATAGTCTTTGTGACTCACACACAATGATTTAGTGGAACTATGCAAATAAGGTATATGGACCCTGTGATGATTGGGGTTAAGTGTCAACTTGGGTAGTCCATGATTTCCAGTATTGTATGGCTGTCCTCCATTTTTGTGATCTGATGTAATTATCCTCCATTTTTTGTACTGTAAATCCTAATATCTACATGTTAATGAGGCAGGGTTGGTATGGGGTGTATCTTGAATCACAGCCTTGTAGGAGGGTGTGACTCAAGTCCTACCTTTACTCAAGTTATGTCCTTGCCTGGGGTGTGGTCTGCATCCAAGGTATATATATGGGTGCCCTGACGGGGCTCTCTCCGCATCTGGATCCTGCATCCAGTTCATTACTCTCTGACTTCCAGTGCTTAGGGTCTTGAGCCAGAGGTCTGCTATCTGATCTACTGATTCTGGGATTCGCTGGCTTCTGCAGCCCCATAGGCTGGCGGCCTATTGTCTGACCTGATTAGCCAGCTTCCGCAGCCTTGTGAGCCAGCAGCCTATGGTCTGACCTGCCAGTTTGGGCTCGTTAGCCCCTGCAGCCACGTGAGTCAAGAGAAGCCTATGCCTGACCCACAGATTTGGGACTTCCCAGCCTCCACAACCATGTGAGCCATCTCCTTGATACAGTTCGTGAGTTCTGTAAGACGTTGCAGCAAATTACAGAACCCAAAGACAGGAAGGAGAGTACCGAGGGGAGGAAAAGTAGTTGATGTTAGAGATGATGGAGTGGTACAGCCGTTTGGAAACATTGGACATTTGGGACATCTTTAACCTCTGCCTCATAGGAACCAGCTTTGTGCCGATCCTTACAAAAGAAATTATTCATTTAGTACTAAACTACTAGCCAAAGTGTTGGTGGTTCTAACTCTCCCCCAGAGGTGCAGCAGAAGACACGCCTGGCGATCTGCTTCGGGAAGGTCACAACCTTGAAAACTCTGTGGGGCACAGTTCTGCTCTGCACACGTGGGGTTTCCATGAGTTGGAATAGACTCAACAACAACAGCAACAATTCTTAACATAGCTGTCAAAATGATTCTTTAAAATGTGGCCAGGTCATGTCACTTCACTGCTTAAAACATTGCAATGGCTCTCCATTTCAACCCAAGTCCTTACACAAGCCTACAAGGCCTTACAGGCCCCTTTCATCCCTGACCTCACCCCATACTCCTCTCCCCCTTACTTTTACTACTCCAGCCACACTGGGCTCTGGGCTGCCCTTGGAACATGCAAGGCACACTCCACCTAATGTAGCCTTCACACCAACTACTCCTTGCCTGGAACACTCCCATTGGAGACCCCGTTACCCTGATAGCCTGGTCTACTCAGTATAGCTTTTATCATTCTGTTGTTGTTAGCTGCCACTGAGTTGATTCCAACTCATGGCAATACCATGTTTGCAGTGTAGAATTGCTGCATAGGGTTTTTAAGGCTGTGATCTTTTAGAAGCAGATCACCAGGTCTGGCTTCCGAGACCTCTGAGGGGTTTCAAACCACCAGCCTTTCAGCTAGTAGTCTAGCGCTTAACCATTTTCACCACCCAGGGACTCCTTATCACCCTACAACATACTGTGTACATAATTCAGGTATTTATTACGTTTATCATTTATTGTCTATCTGCTCTGCTATCTCCCGACTCCAGTCCCACTAGAGCATAAGCTCCACAGGGATTCCAAGCATTCTAAACGGTGCTTGGCACATAGTAGGCATTCAATAAACATCTGTTGAATAAATGACTCTCCACCTTCCCCCAGAGTGTGACCATGAATGCTCCCTTTGGGCTAAAATTATTTTCTGTATGCTCTGACATTATTTGGAATTTTGCAGACCTTTAAATTGGCGAATATTGTTAAAAACCAAACACCAAATTTCACATTTTCAGCTATCCAAACTTTACAATGATGCTCACTGAATGTATAAGTGCTCAGTTTATTGGGGAGTGTTTTCAAATTATGATGACTTTTGCTTCCCTTTTGCTATTGCAGGGACCTGGATGGGCAGACTCAGATAACAATACTACTCTGCATTGGCAGATGTAGGCAGGTGTTCCAGTAACTTGGCCAGTTCCCATACTCCCATAATTCACCTAAGCTCACACAGCTATTTAGAGCCTACGACAGCATCTGAACTCAGGTATTGAAGATCTATGCTCTTTCCACAATGTCATGTTATCTCTAATTGGTGTTTCCTCATTGGTTCCCACTGTTTCCTCAAGGCATCCAGGCTGCAGTAGGCTGGGACCCAGTCTCAAGGTCCCCTACCTCTGGGGTGCCATGTCAGCTTCCAGAGTTCCTGATTGCCTTCTGGCTTTAACACAGTGTTGGACCTTAACTTCTAGCCCCTGGGTGACTCTTGGCCAACCTTCATCCTCTGCCCTGGGCCAACGTTGGGTTTCCATGTACTGCTGCTAGACGTTCTCAGACTTGCTTGCCTTGTCGAGTCTGGACATACCACTTTGCCTCCTCACATACTGCTGCTCACAGTCCACCATGACAGAAATTTCCCTAAAGAATTTTCACAGTACAGATTCCTTTCTGCCTTGCAAAAGAAACTTCTAAAGGTCAAAATGATAAGAGGTGACAAATTGGCCTGGCAGACAAGGGAAGCATATTCAAGAGGTAATGAGGACTATCAAAAACAGGCACCAAACCTGCTGAGCTTTCAACTTCTCATTTGTAATGAGATTCATACAACCACTCTAGCGATTCCCCAGCAATCCCTCCTTTTTATACCTTACAGGTTGACAGCTAAAGCTCTAATTGCTACACTCAAGAAAGCAAAGACCCACTTTGTTACATTTGGCTTAAATGGGTAAGAAAAATACTGCCCTAGTTCTTGAAGAGTCTTCATCTGCTTACCTGCAGCTGCTGCTTTTCTTGAAGAAGCCAGTCTCGCCTAGTGAGGGACACATGGAGTCTGTCCTGAGCAGTAGGTTCCAGAAGCTTTGGCTCTATTCTGAGCACAGGTTGGGTGTCTTCACTGTCGGCCCTAAAAATAAAACACCATAGAACTGAAATCCTCAGGTCTACAAGAATTTTAAGAGTAAGAAATTTCCCAAAATGGTCCCTGGCTGTTCTCATCCTCAGGAGGGTCATAGGGATGAGGTACCTAATGTAAGTTTCTGTTTTAATTTAAATGTGTTAAGGTTTTTTTCCTTTTCTCTAGCCTAATTTTCATTATAGTCCCTAGACACATATGGCTACTGAGCACTTGAAATTTGGTTAGTCCAAATTAAAATGTACTATGAAAATACACACCATCTTTTAAAGACTTAGTATTAAAAAGTATAAAATATCTCATTAATATTTTATGTTGATTACATATTGAAATGATAATATTTTGGATATATTGGGTTAAATTAAATATATTGTTAAAATTCATTTCAGCTCTTCCTTTTATTCTTTTAATGTGGCTCCTAGATAATTTGGGAGCAGTGGTGGTTCAGTGGTAGAACTGTCACCTTCCATGCAGGAGATTCAAGTTTGATTCCCAGCCAATGAACCTCATGCACAGCCACCACCTGTCTGTCAGTGGAAGCTTGTGTGTTGCTACGATGCTGAACAGGCTTCGGCGGAGCCTCCAGACTAAAACAGACTAGGAAGAAAGGCTTGGCAATCAAATTCCAAAAAATCAGCCAGTAAAAACCCTATGGATCACAATAGTCCGTTGTGCATGGTATCACCATGAGTCGCGGGTTGACTTGACAGCAGCCAACAATAACAAAAATACTGGATAATTTAAAATCATACATGTGGCTCGCATTATATTTCATTGGCCAACACTGCCTTGGACCATCCAATCAGAGCCAAGTTCCAAGACTAATCTTGGGTGTAAAGATTAAAAGGAGAGGTGTGACTGATTTGTACGTACTTGGGTCAGAGCTTCTCAAAAAGATTTGCTGAAAGACTGTTGTAAACCACTTAAAATCTGTTTGGCTCCTTCTCTTATTCTTGCAGGAGTTGACATATTTGATTAAAGCAATACTCATGAAAATGCAGACACAACTTGCTTATCAGTGAGCTGACTTTACGGTAGTCTTGCAGATATTTATCATCAAAGGATGATCAATTCATCCTTATAGTATGTGATTTCGAATGCAATTCAGTATGACAGAAAAACATTAAACCTAGTAAAACTAGGTCAAGAATTCAAGGAAGCTATGTCTAAGAAAACACCAAAAAACTGAAAAGGCAAGTAAGAAGTTGGAGGAAATATTACAACATATGTGTCAAACAAAGGGATAGTATTGCTAATTTAAAAAGAGTTCTAGCAAATCAGTAAGAAAAAGACAGGTGCACAATCAGAAATTCCAAAAAAAAAAAAAAGAATTACAAAGAGTTAAAGCATTTATCATCAAAAATAGTTTTAAACATAAATTAAAACAACCAAAAAATATTTAGTCACCTATCAAACTGGCAAAGGTTTTCTAATATCATAATCCTTTTGGTAAGTTTAGGGAATAAGAATTAGACTTAAAATTTAATGTAATGTCGGAGCCTATATTCCTGGTTCTATGAATTTATCATACGTAAATAATCACAGAGGTGCACAAAGATAAGCTACAAAAATAGCACATTTTCTTAGTAGCCAAAAACTGAGAACACCCTAACTGTGCCCCAAATGAGAAACTAGTTCAGTCAACTATCGTACAACCACACAGAGAAGAGCTATGCAGTCATGAAAAATTAGCTCGTAAAAGAAGATGTAATGGCATGAAAAATGTTCACTGTATATTGCTATTCTTTATAGCAGGCTTTTTTGGAAATAGGTGTAATATAAACCAACTATTGTAAAAATAATATGGATACAAAATAAAAGACAGGAAAAAGAGCCACCAAAACACTAATAGCTCTTATCTCTGGTTGGTAGAATTACTTCTTTCGGCCGATTTTTTATTTTCTAAATTTTCTACAGTGCACATGTATTATTCTTATAACTATAATAAAAGATGTTTTCTACCACATACCCTAAGTAGCTGCACTACTTAGTTAAATATTTTAACATAGCCAACCTGTCTTGTAACCCCTGTTTTAAATAAATCCCACTAATAAGTTAACCATCAAGGGAATCTTCCCCTGCGGAGGAGCAGGCATCTGTAGCTTCTGACAGAGGCATAAACTCAGTGTCCTAAAACTGCCAAATTAAACATTCCCCCTCTTCCCCTGGAATCTCTTTCCACACAGCTCAGACTCGTCAGCCACCTTCACATTTACGTCAGGGCTCATTACCAGGAGTATGATGTTCGTGTTTCTGTATTGGCACAGGTTCTCGTGACCTCCACAGTTCTTAAACGAGAATATGAGCAACTGATCCTAATGCATTGTGGCTTTGTTCATCTCCTTTCACTCCTACCCCATTTCATTCAATCAGAGAAAAGAAAAAACATTATTAATCTCCCCAGGATGTGCCCCAAACTGGTTTGGTCCTAGGGACCCAGCAGTAAATAAGACTTGGTTCCTACACAGAGCAGGAGAGACAAACACATCAACAGATACCTACAAAGACATGGGATAAATGCTCAATCCAAGGCTCAAACCAATTGCTGTAGAAGTTTGAAGGTGGGGGTGACTCTTCTACTTCCTAAATCTTAGCATGGCACTTACAAAATAAGTGAACCAGTCAAGCACTCCAATGAAGTAACCCTAATATTTTTAGAAACAATACTAGAAGATATGTCACCTCCATTTTTCTAAGTTAGAAAGCAGCAACTACAGAAAAATGAACCCAACTATTACCCTTGGGCCTAACACAGATTCAGATTCTCTAAATAATACTGAAAACCATTCACTTATTGTAACTTACCACCCAATTCAGAATTTGTTTTTTTAAGACATGTAGCTTTCTGTTTTGTATGCTTAAAGGCAAATAATAACAGTACTAGCAATAAAAGTTTTCAAACTGACAATAACGAACTACAAATTGAGAATTTACTACACACTGGACATTATCATTTTTATCACACTCACTTCTCATTACAGATCTAAGGTGAAAATATTATTACAGTTTTGCAGATGAGGAAACAGAGTTGCAGGGAGATTAAGTGACTGGCCTATGGCCTCACAGAGTGCAAGAAGCAAAGTTTAGGAATCACGGGCAGAGCAGACTGAATTCCAAGTTCAAGTCCTGTCCCAGACACCACACTACCATTAGGTTCTCAGGAAAATTGTAAACGTCTGTTTCCTCCTTGTTTGACCCACATCTGTTTATTTAGTCACCTCCCCCAATATTCAAAAGGGGCAGTAGAGAATGACAGAAAGAGCACAGCACATGGAGTTAGAAGACCACAACTTGAATCTTAGTCCTGCCTTCTTCTGTGTGTCGTTGGACTGTCACCTGACTTCTCTGAACTTCATTTTTAAAACAAGAATAATAATAATAATGACTAATCACTGCATATGCATGTGAAAGCTAGACAATGGAAAAGGAAGACCGAAGAACTGATGGATTCAAATTGTGGTGTCAGTGAAGCATAGTGACTATATCAGACTGGCAGAAGAACGAACAAATCAGTCTTTGAAGAAATACAACCAGAATGCTCCTTAGGAGTGAGGATGGCAAAACTTCGGCTTACATCATCAGGAAAGACCAATCACTACGAAAGGACATCTTGTTTAGTAGAGTGGAGGGTCAGTGAAAATGAGGGAAATCCTCAAGGAGATGGATTGACACAATAGCTGCAACAATGGGCTTAAACACACTCAGGATCATGAGGGTTGTGCAGGACTGGGCAGCATTTCATTCATAAGGTCGCCAGGGGTCAGAGCCAACTGAGTGGCAACTAATAACAACAACAAATAGCCGCAGAGGCTGTCCCTAAGGTATGGCAGGTAGGGCATGCGCTCTGAGGAAGGGTGCCAATGAACAGTTTCTGTTGGCCACTGCAGTTTCTATCAGCAGGTTCGAGAGATCGTTCAGCAATTTAAAACTAATCACCACAGGCTTGTTTTCTGTAGACAGGCCCCTGCAAAATAGGGTCGACTATGGAAATCAAATTTATTCAACAAATGATCACTGAGCACGACTGTGTGGGCCCCACCCGAGCAGGGACTGATTACTCAATAAGCAAGCTACTCACAGGCTTACCCGTGCTTATTTACTAATCTGTGGTGAACAATTTCACATGGATTTCACCACATACTTGGTGAAATCCATGTGAAATTGTTCACCACAGATTAGTAAATAAACACAAGTAAACCCGTGCATACTTTGCTTACTGGTTAACTTGCCCCTGCACTTGTACTGGAGTACAGCAAGGAGGAGACAGAGCAACCCGCCTGCCTCAGAAGCTGTTGGTTTAACTTCCATCACGTCTCCACGTTTGCATCGGGAAAGTGAGCACTGCCCTCATGACCCATGTGCGTGCTGTCCTATACAGAGGAAGGAGATTAACGATGAAAGGCTTCTGAGGACCTTTAAATGCACCAGAAGTCTCTGTTATTAAATCATCGCCAGCATGCTGCCCCAGGGCTATATTTCCTGCAGGACTGTGAGCCTCTGGAGGGCAGAAGCTGAGTCCACCTCATGTGGGCATTCCAGGTGCCCAGCACAGAGAGGGGCTCATTAAACATTTGCTGAATGAAGTAATGAGTCCATGGCCCAGAAGATCCAGAAGTCATTTATATTCTCTCTCCTATTGCATGCATTACATCATTTCTTTGCATTAATTTATTTCCCAATTTGCTCTGCTTATGCTAATATTAAGAGTTTCCTAAATTTCCTAAATAAATACCATCTGGGTCAGGATGGGCGTTATTGAAGGAAATTAACACTGAATTGAAAATTAGCTGCAGAGGAGCTACAGGTGGATAACTGGGAATTCTCTATATTTATCGTTAATCACATTCATTACTTAATCCATAAGAAAAGCCCCTGTGGTTCACCAAAACTCCTCGCTCTGCCTCTCATGCACTCACTCCGGGTGTAGAAAGGGGGCCACAGCCCAGCGCAGGAGGCACTACAGGACACACTGGAGCTCAGTAATGAAGCAA